TAAATTATCTGGATCTCTTATGAAATTTTGAAAATTTGTAATTACAGAAAAATATGTTCTGGTTTTTGTGTGTGCACTTAAAATCTTGATAGTTCGTTTATATATAGTAATTTATATATAGTAGTTTATAATAGTAAATAGGCTCCAAGTAGTCAAAAAATCTCTTTATTAAAGCCCTTTCCGGGCATTTGCTTGTAAAATCAAATAGTACAAGGAATTAATAATTATTTATCAAATAATCTTAGTCCTATTATTTTATAATATTCTTCGTATTCTAGATGATAATTTTCCTTCATATTCTTTCCAATATTACTTCATTCAAAAGAATAGAACGATAAAATTTTTAGTTTTTTATAAAATCATATTTCGGATAGTTTGGATGTTATATAAGACTTTTAGTGTGATATATATAATTCCCGAATATATTTTATACATGTACCTAATCAAATCTTTCAATTTGTTTTAAATATACTATTTATGTCCTTTACCCCTGAAAAAACTTCAAGAGCAATAGGGTTCTATCCAAACTGTTTTCGCAAGGAATCCTAGCTAAAAGTTAAGTAATATATTTATATCTCAACCATTCTTTCCCATCTTATCGCTATACAGACTGTTCAAGTAGCGTGTATAAAAGTTCTTGCAGTCTATCTTAATAAATAAAATTCTATTGGTGGCATCAAACCCGTCGTCGTAGCGGGTTAACGGGCTTTTAGTGAACTGCCGAACAGGATATTAGACACGGGGACTGAACAAGATGATTGAAATACATTGTACGCTTTTCAACGTGGCGCTTCGAACCGTTCCGGGCGGCGGGCGACGCTGGAAAGTGGAAATTGGGTAGTGGAAAGCGGTGGAGAGCGCTTTCCCGTAGCGCGTGCCGCGATACGGCCTACGCCACGAGAGGCTGCGTTTGATTCAAAGACACCGAAGCTGTCATGTAATCGTTATGTGAATGTCATGAATACTGTTTTGAATAAATAAATACATAATTTGATGCGTAAAGATATTTAAAGCATTGACATTTATGATTGTAATTACTGGGTATGGGATATCGACATTATGTAAATAAGACTGGCATACAGACAAGTTAAAGTGATTTGATATCAATATACTAGTGTTGATAAGGCTATTATACCAAAAATAAAGATTTAGCAAATATTGCATTTTAAAAATAGAAGAATAACTCATGAATTATTTTTTTCATATCTTCCTAATTTTTATAAATTTTTAAATTTCTTACTTTATAGATCCACCGATGATGACATCTAATTGTATGTTCAAACGTTTGGGAATTAAAAATTAATTTATAAATTGACCATTTTTGAAAATTTGAAAAATCAATTCCACCTTGAGAATAATAAAATGGTGTCTAAAATGCCAGTCTAAAATGCTCTGAAAGTATTTAATTATTTAATTTGATTCCAAGTGATTAAATATTAGTTAATTGTTGCACTTATTTAACAAGAATTTTGGAATTGATTTTATCTGAAACGTAATGGCTTATATATTAATCCCTCTAGTGCTATTTTTCTTGACGCTACCATCTGGCCGAAGTAGCAAGGCCAAATTGTCAGTGGATAATGAAATCTTATATCCTTAAAGTTTCGGAAAAGCATCCGCGCGCGCCCCTTAAGAAGCTCTCGCCGAGTCTAAGAAAATTCGTCTGAGGAACGGCGTTCTCTCTCTCCATCGTACTACACTGATTGTATTTCAAGAAGTTTTAACGAGACCTTTACGATGCGAATAGACGCTTCTTCTCTCGCCCTATCGAACGAGATTCGAAGGTTTTCAAAGTTTTCAAATCTTACTCTAAAGGTAATCCTATTTCGAGACTTAATGGCAGATGTCTTACACGACATTGAGACGATGTTAGTTTTCTACTCGATTCGGTCAAGGGGATAAATGATGATCGAAATCTCATCACCCTTTATGGAAACAGAAAAACAATTTTCATTATCTATATAACCAAAACCATCTTTTCTGTGAAAAATAGGACAAATTTTTATACCAGTTTTAAAAATTTATTCATATGGCTTTAATTTGGTTTACCTAATACTATAAATTTTAAAATAATCCTAAATTTGCTAATAAAATCCAAATATGTATCATGTCATATACAATTAAAACAAATCAAAATCAAATAGATTCTTGGTACAATTACACTAATAGACCCCAAATTCAGTCATGTTATTTTTAATTATTGCTTTTGAATTTTGAAGTCATCGAATATACATATGTTCCAGAAGCTAAAATATTCTAACGTGTTAATTTTACTTAATTTTTTGTCGTTTTTATTTTATTGTGAAAAAGTTTGATGATCTTTGAAATTAGGGTCGCCTTACGGTGAACGAGTAATGGTGTGAACGTTATTTGGACTAATCATATCGCCTTCTTATTGCCGTTGTAAGTTCTAATTGGATGGCTTGATAATGATAAATCCTCTCATTTAATATTTGAATAGGTGTAAAAACGTTAAAATTAATTCTAGTAATGAAAATATTTAAAGAACTATGCTTTTTACACAAAAACGGTTCAAGTCAGAATATATTTCCTGGTCCAATTCAACAAGTTTTCGGGAACTCGTCTAAATATTTATATTTGCGTTTTATTACATCATGTCCTCTTAAATTTGCGAAAGGTCGTTGTGTGTTCTATCTGGTCCTAAATAAATTAAAACAGCCTTATTTGATACCCGGCAAGGTTTATTTCATTCATCATGATTTATAATTCATTTAGTTTGTCCCGACGTTGTTCTTTTCGCAGAGAACTTCATTTCTCTCTCTGAGAGAAGATCTTGCATCATTGTAATTCATTTCTATTAATAAATTATGAATACAGAAATGAATTTAAGCAAATTAGTACGGGAAAAACTAAGCTATGAGCTTTTGAGAGATCTCCTTTGTTTGGTTTCTTGTAGTAATGGAATACTATTCTGTTTTTTGAAATAAAAAATTCATAAGTTCAATAGTAGTAGAAATTATCATTCTTTATTTAAAGTACTGTATATTGTATACATTTACATTGAAGTATACATATTAAAACTTTATTGTAAGCAGAGAATATATATATAAATATGCCCAATGTGAAACTTACTTTATCAAATATGCAATAAAAATTAAAATATTACAATTTATTTGGCATATTTTGCATACATATTTGTATTTTGTGAGGAAACATAAAAATTCAATAAAAACCTATAATTTATAAGTAGCTATTAATTTTGCATATCAAATTTTTGTTTTTTTTAGCAATTAAAATTAAAAATTTCATACATTATTAAATATATACAAAGTTTTTTTTTGTTTATTTTAAAACAAGCATTGAAATTTATATATATTTAAATTTTTATACCATGTGATATTTAACACGTTATGAAAAGTAATTACTTTTCTTATTAATAAAAATATTGTTCATTATAAAATTTCCTTTTACAAATTTATTTTCTCAAAGAGCAACTGGTGTGCAAAAAAAAAGACTATAAATTATAAAAAAATATAATTAGAAAAATAGAACCATAAATTATAAAAAAAATAGACCATAAATTATAATAGAATAGAAAATAGAAATTCGAATTCTGCATTAAAATAGAATGAAAATGACATTTATTTAGATATTGATTTTTTTATATTTTATTAATTAGATTGGTAATTTATTTGGTACACAATGTCTTTTTAAGTTGTAATTAAATAATCGTAATTTAGAAATCTGAATTCATTTTACCTCATTTCGAAAATATATTTAAAGTTGATTTTAACAATATTATAATATTTCGTACAACAAATTATAATTTATAATTTGATGAGTTTCGATATCGTTAATTTTTTTCTTTTTCAAGAAGAAATTTATTATCCAGAAGGTTCGATTTGCTAATTTAATTTTTGTTTAGTTTTCTCTAATAATAAGATTCAAGTCATTTGATGCCAAATTTAGGAAAATTGTGTGTGTCTGTATGAATGTCATGATTTTAACGGACATCTTAAAATATTATAGGCCTACGGTATAAAAATATATTTGTCTTAATGTTTATTTTTGCAGCAAATAATTAGCATATTTGACAAAGATGTAAAAAAAACTGATTAAAACTGTAATAGTTTTTACTATTAGAAAATCCTGCAGTTAAAATCTTTGCGGAGAATAAATTTTATAATATCTCTTATTCCAACTCGTTCTATAAAATTCTAAATTTGTAATATGTATTTTTTTCAATTCGTACAAAATTTAATTATACTGCAATGTAATTAATAAACTTTGCATTGTGAAACTTTACTGGTAAGATTGGCTTGCTTAGAATTTTTACAATAAGACTAATTCCACCTTAAATAATAAAATATATTCAAAATTATTCATATTAGTTAGTTACTTTGTACAAAATTGAATAATCTACATTAAATTGAAATATAGTTGAAATCTTTGCTGAGAATAAAGTTTATAATTCCAACAAATTTTATAAAATTCTAAATTTGTATATGTATTTTACTCAGTTTATACAAAATTTAATGAACTGCAATAGTTCTTTGCATTGTAAGATCTTACTGTCAAAAAAAATTATTTACATACACCCATCCACACCCACACACACATACTTTTTCCAAATTTGGTCTCATTCGATTCAGTATGGCTTGAAACGTTGAGAAAACATCAAATTCGCGAATCGGATTTATTGACGAGAACATAATTTTTTCCCTCGGAAAGTTAATAATTGCTTAGAATTTTTACAATAATAATTTTTCACCTTGATACATTCAAAATTTGTATTCGTATTTTAGTCAATTTGTACAAAATTAAATAATCTGCAATATGTTTTTGGATTCTAAAATCATACAGTTTGTACAATTTATATATAACAAAACTTCTCCCTCCTAAATTTATAAATTGCTTATGAATTTGTGACCTGTTGCAATTGATGCATGACTTGCGACTTTGACGACATCATGCATTGTTGCCAAATTTACAAACCCTCCTGCAGGGAGGGGGTCAATAGTTATTTGAAAGAATTGCAAATTTAGTAATCGAGCAGCACTCGAGGTGTTCGCGTCGGTGTGTCGGTTGTCCCGAGTGCCCTTACGTTCGGTAGTGTGATAATTGTCAGGTGTTTGTGATTTTATCAAAATTATATGGAATTAAAGCAGTAAGTGATAGATTGTAATAATTAATTGTTGTAATATATTGTAATCTGTTGTATTTCGTTGTAAAAATCATAGTTTCGGTGCTGCAACTAGTCCGCTCGGCCGCCATGTTCATGATTCATGTCACATTAAAGATTTGATTGCGCAAGAATTTTTAGACTCTGATAAGACAATAACTAACGAGAAGATTAATTTATTTTTGTTAGAAAGTATTTCATTGCTTGCTTCAAGAAAGTTATTTGTATGTTAGAAAATATTTCATTGTATTGCTTCAAGAATTTTTACCTCTGGTGATAAATAAATTAAATTGTTCATTAAATTTCATTTCTGTCGTCGTGCAACTTCGTCTCGATTCGGCGCTAATAATATGAGTACAGCTTCGGCATCGGCACATTACATCTGAATGGGATTATATACGCCGAGGGTTACGGCTGTCCATAATTTATCTCGAATGATTGCACTTTCGGCAAACTGCCTGGTTTAATAGACCAAGAGGAAAATCAACTCCATTTGAATACCATCCAAGTGACTTTAATATATGGAGTGCACGCTACACAGAAAAGCATAAAGATATGCAAATATAACGTTAATAAACACAAGTCTAGAGGAGACTCGAATGAATATTGTCATAGCCGAAATGTCATGCATGAAATTTTATATTATGCACCCAGAAGAGAATGAACTTTTGATAAAGTTAAATATGAACATCATGAAACGATATTCTGGAAGTTGCATGAGATATGGAAAAAGGTTTTGAATACTTGAAATGCTGTTTCGTCTGCTCATAATTGTTAAAATTTGAAAACAAGAATTTCAGTTAAAGAAATTCAGCAACAAAATAATTCATATTTAATTAACGTTATAATACAAAATTAAATAATGTTCATTGTCGTATGCAGCATTAAAATTTTTCTGAAAATGAAAAAATTTGCAATTAGATTACTTAAAATGAATGAAAAAACTCTGTACTCGTTCAATAAAATAAGTAGTTAAACAATGCATTGTATAGTTTGGTCGATTTTAAATTTTAACTAGGTTTAAATGAAATTTTGCCTTGAGACAAGTTGCATGAACTTTCCGATATGTATAGTTATTCGACTTAATCTATAAAAGCAAATTAAGCAATTAATGACTATTGCTCAAAACCTAACGATTTTGAATTTCTATATTTTTTCTCTTATTCTAAAAAAAATTCTTGGTTTTTTGATTTTGTATTTCTTGGCAAACATTTGATTTTACATATCATAAATGTCATAAAATTTATCATGAAAACTTTGAACAGTTATTAGTCATGAGAATATTTTGTTATGCAAGAAATTCTTTTCTATGCCATGTTATTTAATTTATTTTGTTAATTGATAATTTATTAATTTTTATTTGAGAGTTGAAAGTATCTGCCTACAAACATATAATTTGTTACCAATGGTTATTTATTCCTATTATTCTGTTTCAACTTTGTTTCAAATACATATTTCCTTCATTTTTATTTCAACAGTAATTGTACTCTAATCAAGTACTAATTACAGGGAATTATTGGTAATTCAATATTCGATTTGCATTTATATTGTTCGAAATTATTTTGAAATTCATGTACACAATGATTATGCAATTAACAATTACAATGAAAAATTACATAGTAGTATTACATACAATTTAAATATCAAATTTTGTATTTGTGTATGAGTAGAATAATTTAAAATATTTTGGCAAATTGACAGGAATATTAAATAGCTATTAATTCGGATATTAAAATAGAACTGACATAAATGACGCTAGTTTAATAGATACATATTTAATAGATAACATTAAATTTGAAGTTGTAAAAGATTACATGATTTATTATGACTTGAGAGTATAACTCTGTATTTTCTTGGTATGTAATATTGCATATAAAATTTTATATTTATAAAAAAATTTTTATGTGTTTTAAAATATTTATTCTTGCATTGCGTATACAGTTAGACTTGCGCACATAAAAAACCACACTAATTTAATGTTGGAAAAATAATAAGTTAAACTGTTTTAAAGTCTCAAATTTTATTATACCTTATTTAATCATTTCAGGCAACTAGTAATGATGTAAATTATTTTAAAAACATTTATACTTTGTTTTACGTGTATATCCCATAACAAATTATTTCTATTATTACCAAATAATTTTCAAAAAACACCATTTCCTAGTTTTATTACAAACTGCCTATTTTTATCATGTAACCCTACAAGCCATCATTTCTGACTAGTAAGCACTTTTTTAAAATATCGTTTAGTATATATGACACTTTTCTGAATAAATTTGTAGTTATACAACCATTACTACTGAAAAAACAAGCGTTATCTGTTAGCAAAAATGGCCCAGAGTTCGTTTTTACAACCGTTGTGTAAACAAACATATCATTAAATTTTATGGTACAAGATATCTTTCCACACATGGATGGGAAATCTTATTAGAATATACTCTTGTAAAAGATAATATATTTATGTAAAATATAGATATCTATTATATGTTCTTTTTGATATTTATTTTGATATAATATAATTTTTTAGGATTTTATTGATGATGCATTTACATTAAAATTGTAATGTAAATTGTACTAGACATATGGATCAAATAATACTTACAAATTCTAGTTTTCTGTGGGACAATATTTTAATTTATTATGTCTATATTTCAATATTAATCACATTTGTTTCAATGTTGAGTGTTTTGATAATAAACTCTTTACCGAGATTTTGATAAAAGATTGATTTACTTTTTCAAAATTTTAGCAAACAAAATTGTTTCCTGATGATTACCTTTCATGTTGAAATATTTATTTAAATATAATACCATGAGTCAAGGAAGTTTTTGCGTGATCATAATAAATTTATTAAATGTTGAGATATTGAGATTCATTATTTTCATTTATATTTTTATGTTGCATTTTTATATTGCATAAGTAATTAGTAACAGCAAATGAAACAGAAAGTCAGGAATGTTCGCTTGTTTGTACAATATCAAATTTCTTACAAAACGTGTACATTTTCACCTTAGAATTCGTTTCAGTTTTTATGACCTTTGGATAAATAAAAAAAGTTTTTTTTTAAATTACTAATAAATTACTACATATGTTACCATTACTGCTTAGATATTTTGTTTAACGCGTTAATGATCATGTTAATCATATGAATTCATTAAGAATTTCTTCGAGTTTTTAGGACCTCCGGATAATTATATCACCACTTAAAAATTTTGTTTGTTGAAATTTTAATACATTGCTACTACTGACTATATGTTTTTATTACTATTAGGATATTTTAACATGTTAATGATCATGTCAGTCATATGAGTCCGACGTTAAAAAGTTCTACATGAGTTATGTCAGACTTATGTGTGACAGACATGATTTCGTAGAACAAAAGTTTCAATATTGGATCATGAGAGTTATATATGTACGACCTAAAATATAGTGTTTTCACAGGAATTTGGAAAAAATGTTTATTCTCGAAGGAATTTCTTCTTGAATACATCAAGTTTCTTTGATACATTTTTATCTGAAGTATTTAATAAAGTTACGATAGCCTAGAGAATTAGTGGCGATTAACCTTTTAATACTTGTATTGATGCACAAAGAATCTTTTACTAAAATTTTCTTAAAGCGTTTACTATCAATGCACTCTCAATATGGAAATAATGAAGTTATGCATTAATGTACTTCATATTAATAAAGATTAATATGAAGTACATTATTTTGAATATACTGGGATCCATAGACGATTGTTAAAATCAAAATATAAATTAAAATAATGAATTCTTTGCCTGAAAAACTACATTCTATGAAACGAACAAAATGCAATAAAATAATGCAAGAATCTCCTACTAAAATCTCCGTAAAGCGTTTATTATCAGAGCACTCGAGGATAATTGAAATAAAATCGATTAATATTAAAGTAGTGTGTCAACAAATAAATATCTTACAACTCCCGTCGGATCGTCGGATCTGTGGAATAAAACGTATAATGCTCAGTCACGCAAAGGATTGATGATAGCGTCGTCGTGTGTGTCGATACTGTACGGTGGTGCAGTCGCTTGCGGATGTGTTTTGCTGATAAAACAACGGGCGCGTGTAATAGCAGCCCCTCACCCCGGGGTGGGTGGACAGGGAAGGGTTCTGCCGTGTTACCGAGAGAGAACCCGATATTTTTATGGACTGTAAACATATATGTGATGTTCATATATCCTCTTCCATTTCGGTAGTTGCGAATGTTTTCGGGTAAATCGCCTGTACCCGACTTCAACAATTGGACGGAGCACGGTTTCGTGATCTGTGGATTTTAACAATCTTACTAATACCTTGGCTTAACATTTTAGTTTAATTTATATAGATTACAGACTATCTTGTGAAGATATTCATTAGCAATAGTACGATGATGTGTAATAAAATATTTTTCTTTTATAATTTTGGTTAGTTTTCTCTTCTATATATACAATATTGAAATATTAAACAATTAGCCAAGTAAAAGATATCTCAGCCAGACTTTACAAATTTTATATATATTTAATCCAATTACCATCTAAAGATATTGGGTGAATTCTATAATTTTGGATTTATTTCAATTACATTTATAATATTTTCCCCTAGATTTTTGATCAAATAACTAACCATATAGGAGTACATCTAGAAGCAAATCAAATTATATTTAGAGCAAGGCTTTATTTTTTACAATGTTGATTTATATTTGTAATCTCAATCTAGTTTCACCATATAAATTTTTATCACTCGTACTCATTCGAGTACTATTGTATTTACAAACACTGTTATATAATCTCGTACTATTATGGACACAAATAATATTACTCATTCTCGTATTATATTATATTTACAAACACTATTATATACTCTCGTACTATGATATACACAAATACTATTACTCATTCACGTACTATTATATTTACAAACACTATTATATACTCTCGTACTATTATATACCCAAATACTATTACTCATTCACGTACTATTATATT